AAAGTTTTTAGCTTTCATTCATTTCTCAGTCATTCATTGTTTTTTTTTTCGTTTATATAGCTGTATGTATATTCTTTTTCACTATTATTCCTTAAATTTTCTTTTATTTATACATTCATTATTTATTTCTCGCATTCTGTTGTTCTTGCGTTTATTCTTTTAGTTTTGCAAATTATATACATATTTTCTTCAATATTATTTGCTTAATTCTATTCTACATTCATTCATCAATTGTCTTTCTTTATTTTCTCTATACATAATGTCCTTCGATATCATTTTCTTCATTTCTTCCAAACAATTTTGTGTATTATTCGTTCTTTTTTCCTTCTTTTCTTTCTTTCTTTTAACATTTCTTTCTTTCTTTTTCGTTTTTTCTGGCCGTTCTTCCTTTCGTTTTTATTTCTTTTGGTCTTTCTTTCTCTCTTCCTTTTCATCTTTCTTGATAATTTCTTTCTTTCTATCTTTTGACCTTTGTTTCTTTTTATCTTTCTTTTGGCCTTTCTTTTTCCTTACTTTCTTTTGCCCTTGTTTACTTTCTTTTGCCATTTCTTTCTTTTTCTTTCTTTCTTTCTTTTGCCTTTTTTTCTTTTTTTCTTTGTTTCTTTTGCCTATTAGTTCTTTTTTCTTTTTTGTTTCTTTTAACCTTTCACCTTCTTTCTTGTTTATTCGTTGCTTTCTCTTGTTTCATTCGTTACTTCTTTCTCTCCTTCTTTTTTTCTTTCTTTCTTTCTCCTCTTCTTTCTTTCTTTTGGCCTTCCTTTCTATTTAATTTCTTAGTTTCTTTTGGCTTTTCTTTCTTTTTTTCTTTCTTTTGGCTTTTCTTTTTTTCTCTTTTTCTTTAGTCCTTCCTTTCTTTTTTTGCCAATTCTTTCTTTTTTCTTTCTTTGATTTTTTAGCTTTTCTTTCTTTGTTTCCTTTCTTTTGACATTTCTTTTTTTCTCTCCGTCTTTCTTTCTTTCTCTCTTTCTTTTGGTCTTTCTTTCTTTCTTTCTGTTTTCTTTCTTTTGGCTTTTCTTTTTACTTTCTTTTAGCTCCTTCCTTTCTTTCTTATGTCCTTTCTTTCTTTTTCTTTCTTTCTTTCTTTTGCCCTTTCTTTCTTCTTTATTTCTTTCTTTCTTGTGCCTATTCATTCTTTCTTTTGCCCTTTCTTTCTTTTTGCATTTCTTTCTTTCCTCTTTCTTTTTTTCACCTCTCTTTCGTTTTCTCCTTTCTTTTTTCTTTCTTTCATTCCTTCTTTCTTTTTTCTTTCTTTCATTCCTTCTTTCTTTTTTCTTTCTTTCTTTTGACCTTTCTTTCTTTTGGACTCTATGTCTTTAGGCCTTTCTTTCCTTCTTTCTTTCGTTTATACGACATATTCGATTGTAACTTTAATTAAATTTTTGTGACATTGCTAAAGTCTTCGATTAAAATTTATGCTGAAAATCTCATGCCCGTTAACCAACAATCTGACTTTTAGTTACATTCTACGAAAAAGTCTAATATACATATGTCGGCCCAACACCAGGCCTAATAAAGAGAGAAGCAAGCGACTGAGTGAATGATGTTGTATTAGAGGAGTTACAGTTTATAAAGTTATGTAAGTATTTTGTCTGTTTTGTTTTGTTTTGTTTTACGGCATATCAGCCTCAATGGGTTATTTAGTGCCGACAAAATTTTCATTGTTGGTAATATTTTTTTTTTCAAAATTCTATTTCTGGTAATATTTCTTCCTTCGAAAACTCCAATTCTGGTAATATTTTTCGTTCAAAAATCTATTCTGGTAAGAACTTCCTTTCGCTGGCTTTTTTTTTTTTCAAAAAAATTATTGCTGGTAATATTTGTTTTTCAAAAATTTATTGCTGGTAATAATTTTTTTTTGACAAAGTATTTCTGGTATGAAAAACCTATTTTTTTACACTTTCATAGTGTTTTGATCCGAGTTTTTATTTTCCCATAAAGTGCTACCACCCTGGATCAGGGTTGACCTGGGAATACCAGAAATTAAGAGGTGGTTCCACACACCTCAAAAACTCCTGATCAGAAGCCTTGCTGTCGGACGTCATTTATCGTCATACCCAAGACGGTAAGTTGTTTAAGATAGGTAACAGTTATCTATTGAATTAAAGAGGTTAATATTGTAGTGATCAGTAAAAACTACAAATCGATGACATGTTTCCCTATGTAACAGCTCTTAGGATAAAGATATCTGATTCGTAGTTCCTTCTTAGTATTGGAATAGGAAGGGAATGTGGCTGATTAGTTCCGGTGTAAGTGGTAAAGCGGTGCCTTGCTGGGAATACCAACACAAGGAAACATCATCCGAAAATTTGCTATCAAAATAACAATAGAGCAGTAAAGTTGCAGTTTGAAAAACAATTCATGTAAAATGCCGCACAGACGCTTTCGAACTCTACCAACACTGGCAAGTTAGGTGAAAGATATATGAATAGATGTCCTAACGTGACGATACAGATAAGTTATTTGGTTTAATTAGATATGTCTGAGAGTGTGAGAATTGGAGAAACTCAAGACACAAGATAGACTCTTGAGGTAACAGCTGTTAGAGCCTAGCCGTTTTCGAACTCTGTCAAGACTGGCAGGTGAGTTGAAAGAGATTTGTGTAAAAAGATACCCTACCATGACGATACATGCAAGATGTTTGGTTTAATTAGATTTCTCTGAGACTGTGAGAATTGTAGAAACTCAAGACGATAGATCAATCTTCAGGTAAAGGCTGTTAGAGCATAGCCGATTTCGAACTCTATCAGGACGGCAAGTATGGTGAAAGAGTTTTGTATAAAAATAAGTAATAATAAAATAAGTAAAAAGATGCCCTACTATTGCGATGCATACAATCTAATTCCTCTAATTAGATAAATCTGAGAATAGGAGAATCGTAGAAATTCAAGACGTTAGATAGACACTAAGTAAAGTCTGATCGACCGTAAACGCTTTTTAATTTGTCGGAGTTATCTCCTCCTTAATTCCCTAATTG